AAATTTATTTATGCAAGAAATACTGGATTCACAGATGCCGGTTTTGCCATGATGCAAATCAAATTACTCTATTGAAAATAGGAGTTTGCAAATCAAACTGATATAGTCTATTTTTTATAATATATACATAATTCATATATTAATTAATATAAAATTGTATAGGATTTAAAAAAAAAGTTCACCAGAAAGCATGATGTTAGTAGTTATAAAAAGGATTTATGATTGAATGTATTACTGTATAACACATGTTAAAACAATGACTTTTGATTTGACCCTTTTGACCTCAGCCAGGCCATCTGCTCTGAGAGTTGATGTGAAGTTGTGATTCTCTTCTGTGGCTCATGTTGAGGCCTCTGAAATGGTTACAGCTCATGACCTTCTGAATCCAAAGGTCAACACCCTAGGAAATCTGAATGAACACTAATGGAGCTTATTGGAAGTCATAAGACATTGTAACTTCCCCCTAATTAAAGTGCTCATGGGTGAGAGGAAGAGTGCTAATAAACTAATTAGCACAAAAAATAATTTGAGCTCTCCAGGTGTTTTTGGATCAAAAATCAAAGGGAAAAAGGGCAGGAGGGAGAAGGATATCATTTTTCATCTCATTGTAACAATAATGCCTGACCTAATTTAAATTAGGGCAGCCTATACTAAACTTAACTTTCAATATAAATAACCTGGTCTATTAAAGCAGGTCTGTAATAGACTCTAACGTGCCTCTTGAGTCTAAAATTATTTTGTATATTTAATAGTGTAATAACAGATTAGAGCGCACAGTTTGCTTTGCCCAAGCAACTTAACAAAAATCAAAAAACAGAAATGCAGCCTTCGACACTGTAAACAGCTGTCCCTTGTGCTGTGTTTTTGGAAGGAGTCATTACTTTAGGAATTGGCTGCTGTTTTGCAGCAGTTCATGAGAACCATTGGGATGTGCAGTATAAATGTATCATCACAGATTGCCTAAGAAGGGGTGGCCCATTCTGGCTGGATACATTAAGACCCAAAGGGGGAAGGGAGGAAAGTGTTGTTGCCAGGCAGGAGGTCAAAACAGACAGAAAGCAAGTATGATCCAGGAAGATGGATGAGACACTTTTCACCTAAATGAAAGCTCTCCCCATTGTTCTTTATAGGATGCATTTGTAACAGAAAACCAACATTGGGTTTTCATGTACGAGCGCGAGTTTGATTAGACATCTCCTTTGATGAGGAAAAACCTCAAGGAGCCCCGCTTTAGAAAGTCAGAAGGGAAACATTAAAATGACGAAAGATGAAATCAAATTGGAAGGCGATAACTTTGGTCTCTAAGATAGTTTGTCTTCTTTAAATTAAAACAAACAATGGCCTTCTCAAATAAATGTCAATATCTTCCTTCTCAGACTGTTGTTTCTCACAGGCAGAAGTCAGGTAAACTGGGAAAAATGTAAAATCTCCAGGTTAACTGAAAGGGCTGCTCAACAGAGGTCTTGGGAACAGGAACAGAGGACATGAAAACAGGCTCTAATGTTCTCCTACACCCAAACCTTTAAAAAGTGTTAACTTCAGCACATTTTCCCTGCTGACAAAGGGTTTCATTTGAAGTTCTTTCATTTGGCTAGAACTTCTGGGTATATTCCTGTATCATAATTACAATTCAGTTTGTGGTCTGAAAATGTACTCTGCTCTCATGATTGTTGTCATTGCATTGCATTTCAGTTGTTAGTTTTATAATTAAACCCATGAGAAACTATGCTACAGTTTTAATTTAGCATTTGAATGTTGGAATGTCAGAAAACAATACTGCGACAGCGAAAGTTGGACAGAACCAAGACATTCCCTTACTTTTGGCCTTCTTGCTAGCTTTTTTCTTAGTTTTCTTCCTATTGGTGATGGTGAGGCAAAAGGACAGAAGAGTGATTTAATGGAAAGGGCCCTAGCTGCTAAACACAAAAGGATTTTTTCCCCCTCATCCTCTGCACTGAAGGCAGTGGGAGGGGAGGGGGCATTTGGCGATTGTGGAAGTGTACACAGTGATCTCCTCTAGACTTTACTCCCTGCCCCTTTCATTAGTGATGCCCATCATTCATTTACACTTCATTATCAACAGGCCTCATTACAAACACATGCAAGTGCTATGCAACTCCTTCTTCTCACCCTATTGTTGTCACTCTCAAAAGGTTTGCGTAATGACTCTCAAGCGACTGCTGTTCCCGTCGTCTCTGAAGAGTAAGAATGGTTACGTCAAGATACTCAGAGATGAGGATTTGAATGCTAATTATCACAGGTACAGTAACTTAAGAATCAATGGAAGATTCTACTGTCTGGACCTCGTATCACATCATTTCACTTTCTACCAGCTAATCCGTCCTCATTTTACTGACAACTGTATTTTCAAACTCATTAAGCCTTGCCCACCACACCACTGTTCGTGTTACACATTGTCTGTAACACAAAACCAAAATGTGTTACTTTGAAATTGTGGGTTATCAATTTTACATAGACCACCCTCAGTCTTAAGCTGTTGATATTGCAGGCTCTTACTGGGACTTAAGAAGCCGAATCATTAATGGACTGCAAATCCTGAGATTACAAACTTTTATTTTAAGGGAATTATTATTAATTATAAAGCTCGGAATATGATCCAGCCTCCATAAACATGTTTTCACGATGTGGTTCAATAAAACTTTATAAAATGTTTTATAATGTAGTGAGGCTTGGTCGACTGCGTGTTGTTCTGAACGTTTTAAGTGACTGACTAAAGAAGACGGTTAGTAGAAAAGGAACCAGATGCTACCAGACAACTTTTATTTCACTTTTATCACAACCAGACGTTTTCGACCATACCAGACGGAGAAATTTTGTAAAACCTGGCACTTGGCTTGTGTATTAACAGAAAACCAAACCTAGGCAACTCTGGACAGAGCCCAGTCTGGCAATGGGTGGTCTATTTTAACATACCTGATTTCAGTCCTGACTATTAAAATTGATATTGAATTGAAACCATTGCTCATTCTTCATTTATTCCTCAGAGTATTACATTACCAGAGTAATGCTGGAACAATATGTTTTAAGTTTGGATCTGAAATGGGGTATTGGGATGTTTATGTAGAAAAGCATTCTTAGCAAAGGAAAAAAATACTAATCACAGTCAGCTCTTATTTTTATTGTTGTCTTCAACAAAATAACCAACTGCTACAGGATTATGAAAATAAACTGTTGGATTGATATTTAATTGGCTTTTCCAGTTTAAGAAGCTGTCAGCTGGATATCAAGAGTTGAGTATACGTTTTGTATCAACAATCAACTTGTTGTGCCCAAATAAAGCCATATTATACCTTATCAAAATGGATTCCTATTGTGTGCGATGGTTTTTGCTAATTTTCAGAAGTTTCGACCTCCCCCAATTTAAGGAAAGGCACGAAAAGGGACAGGGACTCGAAATTCTACAACTGTGCAGTACTGCCTTTCTGTGCTGCAATTCTTCACCTTAATGGTTTATAAAAACGCCTTCTCTCTCCCTCAGCGGAGTAACGCGTTTCACCAACACATCAAAAATGTACGTTTCTAGAACATGTATATTCACCCTGTAGACGGATGGACTGTAAAGTTCCCTGCGAGAGCACGCTGTTTGAACACTAGGCATGGTTGAGGTCTTGATTGACCGCTCTCGTTTCCCTGCTCCAAACGCCATATCTTGAAGCAGTGCGAGACAGCGCTCGCCACAAGAAGGGGCTGATTTCTGCAGAAAGTTTTTTTTTTTTTGGGGGGGATTAAAGATTATGTTCATTAATTTGTCTGGGCACATGCATCAGGATAGCCTGCGGGTGAGTTTCTGACTCACGTCTACTGCCATTGTGAATCGAAACACCTCACCTGTCTAGATTAGCAGGAGGTGTGATCAGGACGACACCAAAACCGAAACCGAGATTCTGCTGTAATATGTGTCAGTGGGCTCAGATAATCTCGTACGCGATCATCTACTTTATGTATTACTAAAATCAGCTTTTTAAATGTTACCTAATGCAACACGAATAATAAATGATAATCACACATTTCTACAGAAAAATAGCATAAAAACAAAAACTATAGCTCAGATAATTTCTTTGTTACGGATCCAAACCATACTTAAAAACAACGCCGGAGGCAGTGAAATTGCAGTTCAAATTCCTACACGTTATATGGTTACCATGTGTATTCAGAGAAAGAAATAATCAGGTCAAGTATTTATGAAACAGCACCGGCACAAACCAGATGTCACTTACACATGCTTATCATACTTTACCTTCTCAAAACTATTAATTAATGTGAAAATACATTTAGGATTTACTGCATGCGTAAAATTATTGGACGTCTGTTCAGCAACGTCAAAAGAAATGTGGCACATTGTTGTAAGACCGCGCTAAAAAACGGGGGAAAAAAGTTAGAGGCAGCACATAGTAGTTTGTTGAATTGTTGAAAAATACATCTGGGCTCTTGCTAACAAAGCGATGATTTGTTATCTAAATTGCGTTACACTTTCTTGGCACGAGTTCTTTGCCTTCTGATTTCAGCGAATTGCACCAAAATGTAGAGACTGTCTAGCAAAGATTCACAAATGCCTTTATTTTGAATACGCACTGAGTGAATGTTTGAACTATTAATCCAAACGCTCTTTCTGCTGTTTTTGCCTCTTGACCCTCATCAGATACAGTAAATAATCCTTAAACCGCTGGATTGCCAGTACCAAGCCGCATCGTTCGCGATGTATATTTAAAAGTTTTAGTGGAGGGGATGCATCTGCTCCGTGACATAATTTTGGTTCCACCCCAAGGGGTTAATCCATCTATCTGTGCAAAAGCGGGTGTTGCCACAAACTTTTAAAAATCCCCATTTTAATCTATTTGTTCCTATTTAAATTTTATTGCATCGTTTTCCCAACTACAGAGAGTGAGTGAGAGAGAGAGAGCGACTGGCTTCAGGGGGCTGAGCGTCTCTTAAGCATGCAGGAATCAAAAAGACAAAAAAGTGGGAGTTTCCGAAAATAAAACCCATGCAAACCCTCAAAAATTTCCCGGTGACTTCAGATCCAAGGAGGTGGTCACATCTGCGCTCGCTGGATTTAAACTGCAAGGAGAACTTTCACTCGGAGCTGTGGGACTGCTTTAGCCTTTCGATCGCATCTCTGCAGTTGCCTTTTAACTTTGGAGAAGGAACATGAGATTTAACAGGCGGATAAGCACAAAAGTGTACCAATGATTTACACCACAGGCGCTAAACTATTAATTTTACAGAGCTATGTTATATATATATTATTCTAAATTGATTTTATAGAAACAAGTCGTGCTTGGAAAAAAGTATTTTAGAATCTGACGAGTGGTACAAAAGTTCAGTAACTGTGTGTAATGAGCGTCTACCTGTGCATTATGAAACGAAGGAATCAAACTACCCTTCTCTCGTTCGCCAGTTATTTTTTGTTGACGATTTTTTAAAATCCTGCAGTACCCACAGAGAGGTTATGAATGCGGATGACTTTCGTGAAAAGTGAATCTTGTTAAGCGTAATTGAAACCAGCTGCTATTTCAGCCTGATATTGGATAATTGATTCTGTGGGTTGTTTTGTTTCGACGTTTAAAAATGGACCGACTGGGCACTTTAATTTTGAGGGTATTAACTGTTGTACTACTGGTACGAATGTGTGACACTCAGAGGGATTTGACAGGTGGAAAACAGGACAGCGCAAACACTCGCACTCTCTGGGACCAGGGTCTAGCGCGACCCAGGAGTCAGGGGGACAGTGCAGAGGTAACCAAAGACGGCTACTCTGCCAGACCACCAAGCGTAACCTCCTACCGGACACACCAGAATAGCTCGCCCATAGGAAGGGGGACTCAACCTCGTCTACCCCAGAGCAGAAATGCCCCGTCAACGCAAGGAAACAGACACACGACGGTCGTGGGCAGCAGCATCCCCGTTGCACTACAAGAAAAGGATGCTGTGACCCATCACGGCAACGCTACCTTAACCCGGGACAACACGCGAGTGTCCACGAAACAGCGAGTGACTTATCCATCCCAGCACAGAGCCCGGATCAATTCCAGGCAGAGCTCTGTTACCAACGGAGACTCCAAACACAGGGCTGCAGGTTCGAGGCGTCTACTTGGGTAAGATGATTTCCCCCCTCTTTGTCCAGCGGGGTCCCTGCTAATATTATATCAATACGCACATTTAGTAATCAATTATTCAATGATTAATTGGATAAGAGATTTATGATGTGGGCTATGCAGATTTAGATCTAATGTACATTGTCTGTAGTCTAATGTCATGCTGAAATGTTAAATATTGTCAAGTCTTTGAATGACAGATGCTGAACCCGCTGCCAGGAGTAATCTATGCATTGTTCAAATCAGCCTTCAAGGGTGAGGTAAAAAGTTAAGTAGGTACAAATGTCAGTGGAACTGTGGGATGTCAGGGAAAATCAGAATACACTTGGTTAGCTTTCCCAACAATAATGTTTTTTGTGTTTTAAATAAATTACACAATTCTAATATGGAAATTCTGCTACATTTAAGTGTATTATGCCTTATGTCTTGCAGATGTATGAATTACATGTTTGTGTGAGGATTGCATTGTGCATATGTATTCACAAAAAGACTGTTGTTTGAATGTTGGCATTTTTGCTGCTTGTTTAAATTTTAAGAAGGGCTTTTGACAGCAGTTTGCAAATGCAAACATAAAAAATAACACTTTTCTGAAGCGTGCTAAACAGTATTTTCCATTTTAACCCTTACTGCTAATCTAGTTTTTGCATTAATTCCAAGTTCTTCTTTTAATGTAGAACATCTACATTGGGGGAGGGAAGATCCAACAGCAGGTCATAGTAAACAGCCCTTTGTCCTTGTTAATTTATGCATAGTTCATATGCAACAGTGCAGCGGACAAGAGGATGATAAATTAATGAAAATTGTGATCCACTCACCAAATTGCCACAAATGGAAACAAAGTAGTGAATGACTGGTTTCTGGTATGAAGATGGAAATAAGCTTGTTTCTAACTGACAGGCATCATTGTGTGATGGGTTTTGAATGTGTAAGTGGCAGGAGGGTGAAAGGTCTGATTTAATCCCAATCAAACAGGAAAAGCCATGTGACAAAATCCAAGATTTCTTTTGGGGGGGGAAATGTTAACTAAGGGAGACATATGGATGACAAGGGATGATGGATTACTGTCCATAAATTTAACACATCTCTAAAAGCTTTAAAGAGAGAGATTAGCTGGTTATTGTATTACAGGTTTGCAGGTAAAATGCCTTTGTTAAATTCCTGTTTAGGGATTTAATTGAGAAAGCTCAAACTCTGTACTGCTCACTTGTTTTCTCATGTAGACCATCTGCTGATTGGGCAAGTTGTTGTAGCACAGATTCTCCAACCCCTGTAACCGATCTCAACCCCTTGTTCTTCTTAGGTTTCAACATGGTACCCCAAATCCCAAGAGTTCTGTCATTTGTTTTTCCTCAATCGGACCTCCTGGATTGTTTCTGTGAATTGAATTTGTACTCCTCAGTAAATTAAACCATATGCAGCTGAGCAGTAAGCCCGAAATTTGAAATAATATAGATGTGCAATGAAAATGATATACCCATCACTTGCAAAAGAATCAAGCAGGTAACCTGAAAACTGTACAATGGAAGCATTTTGGTATCTGATTTCACACCAAGCCCTTTGTACCCAAGCCAAACAAATTTCAGTTAGTTTTTTTAACTGTGTGTTGTGGGAGTTGATGATGATGATAGTTCAGTAGTTTGGTACTGTACTTGCCTGGCAAAAACATCTGTAAGAATGAAAACTTCATGGACATGAAGCTGTTGGACCTGTCCCTTCTTGAGGCATGAGGCAGGGATCTGCTTCAAGGATGAAGATGGAGTGAAGGGAGGGATGCGAAAATAAACATAAGAACAGTTACAAATGATGACTTTCGGCATGTCTAGCTCATCTGGGAGTTAGAAACTAATTGATCCAAGGATCCTATCAAGTCATTTCCTGAAAGAAACCAGGGTATCAACTTTAACAACATGGTTGGTTAGCTTGTTCCACACTTCTACAATCCTTTAGGTTTCAAAGAAAACAAGTAAGATTGTGCATTTATATGTTCTGTAGGTAGGTGTAAGTGGGCAAGATTAGGATCTGACCTCCTCCCTTAACTTTGTATGAAACTCCATGAAACATACTGTATAGGTAGTTATTTAAATTGACGCTAATTCCCAACCATCTTGTAGACATGTCTGGATAGGATCCTCATACCTATAAGCTACTGGCAAGTGATCTAGCAAGATCGGTCAGTTCTTGTCCTCTTGTGTTTTTTTTTTTTATTCTTAGAATGAAATTCATATTTAATTTCCATTGGAAACCCCCAAAACTGCCAGATGTGGCAGTTTAAAACCAATCATGCTGGATTCATCATGCATGCCTTTTAAATATAATTAATATATTATACCAGTAGATAACTAACTGTATTACTGCTTTGTGAAAATTAAGATGGAGTACTGGTCAACATCTCATTCTTCTTGGGGGGAGGGGGGGGGATTTTAATAGGATTTGATAAGTCTTCTGAGGTCTGAACATCTTTGGGAACATTTTCTCACATCATTAAGGCATTTCTCACATTTGTTAGTCAGCTGTCATGAAGGAGAGAATAGGTTTCGTGTTTTCGGTTTGTTTCCCTTCTTAAAGGTAGAATCCAAACATGAGAAACTGTTGATGTGTCAGACTCATTGAAAAGCTTTTATGTATGTTTTCCAGCTAAAAATGTCTTACCATCAGGATCGCAAGTAGATTGCAAGACTACAAAGACAAATAATCATTTAAAATGCACCTTGTTATTCTATACATCCAATTTCTTAACACTTCAGGTTTACAATTACCCAATTTAGGGTCACAGAAGACCCAGAGCCAGCAAGCAACAGGTGCAGAATACAGAATACACCCTGGATGTGATGCCAGTGCATTGCAGGGCTCAGACACAGACAGTCACACTCACACCAGGGTCCGTTTTCCCAGATAAGATAAGATCACTTTATTGGCCATATAACATTTCTTGTATTAGGAATTGTCTATTCGCATACCACAACTTGCTCTTGATCAGACACACAGACAGGAAGAGAAGCTTGGGGTCAGCCATTTGTACGGCACCCCTGGAACAGTTGGGGTTAAGGGCCTTGCTCAGGGGCCCAATGGAGTAGGATTCCTCTGCTGGCCATGGGGATGTGAACCAGCAACCTTCCAGCCACAGGCGCAGATCCTTAGCCACAGAGCCACCCATGCAAATGAACCTACCGGTATGTTTTGCAGTGTGGGAGGAAACCAGAGCACCTAGAAAGAACCCATGGGGCAAAAATAAAAACTCCGTGCGGAGAGCACCCAGGGACCCAGTGCTGTTATACAGTGCTAACCACTGTGCCACTGTGCAGGCCCATCTTTGTCATTATCATACATAATCAAACCAGGAAACATCCAGTTATGGAGCTTATCCAGGTTTCTGAAAATCTGTCAAGATTTAGTAGGAATTGTTGTGGTTGTTTTTTCCAAATAAAAGGAATAAAATGCAATAATACGTACACGCTTCTCTTATGAAACACATGGATTCTTATAAATGATTTGGAATATGCCACGTTGGGGAAATCCAAGTCCTGAATTCCTGTTTTAATTGCCATTTGATGAATCTTGTGAAATATTTGAATAACATTCTAAGCAGCAACAGCAAAAAAGTAGTCATACACTGTAAGGAACATTGGTACTTGACAAGGCATGCATTCAGTCACTATCTGACTCATTTCTTTTAAGAAACAAATCTGCTTGTAAGTGAATATTTCTTAGTCATTCTTCAACTGAACATTAATGACAAATTTCCTTTCGGTAAGTGGCCCCCCTTTTTGTCAATGTGTCTGTATGCTGATGTCTGATATTCTTGCCCCCAGGGAGAGAGAATTTGCAGTACACCTGTACTCTTGCACAAAAGACTAGTAGTGGTTTCAATCTGTGTTAATAAGCTGGAACAATTAATACACAGCAGTTTTCTATGCCTTTAAAAACAAGATATTGGATCTTATCTTCCTTTAGAGCATTGATACAAAAATGCTTTGCATTATTTTTTCTGGCTACCATGTGTCTCAATCAGTAAGACAGGGGATTCCTAGAGACCAGATATCACTAGTGTGAATGTGGGCTCATGTCATTAGATGAATATGACCAGGATTCCCCTGGCTGTGGCACCGTGGTTCAATGGGTTTCAATATGTATGAGTGTCTTTGGACAGGGCAACTGGATTGCTTTTGGCTTGCCAGTGAATGATCTTGTAGTGAAACAGATGCCTGTCTGTGTTTTTGTCTAGCTTAGTTGTTAGTGCTATGGGCATGAAGTTTAAAAAAAGAGCAGATTATCCAGCAAGTGCTTCTTATTGAGAATGTCTTAATCTCTCCTTTGCACGTATAGCTGTATGATAAAAGATGTTGTTCCAAAATAGGGGATGAAAAGCAAAATGACTGATGAGGGGTTTTATGGCTGTCTAGGCTAGAATTCCTCACACTAAAATCTTTGCATTACTCTTATAGGGCTGAAAAAGATCTAGTCATGATCACCTTGTGTTGTTCTTGTGTGATTGTATCTTGCATTCTTGCAGCATGGGAATATCCTATTCAAAATCTTTACTTCCCTCAATGTAGCTGCTATATGTTGCATTTTGTCTTTGCTTTATTGTGTAATCTCATGTATTCAGATTCTGTGGTATTTTATCTACATATGCTACCTTTTTGTATTTGAGTGTACATATTATTCAATATTAGTTCAGGTGGGTATTATTCAATATGGCTTTTTAATGTTCCTTGTACATTTGTACAATAGGAATGTGGAATAAGAGAGGCCTTGCATGACAGTAATAATGAGTAAATAAAACTCAATGAAAGCAATCCATGCCTTTGTTCCATGTTAGTCTTAACACAACAGCCTCTAGAAAATAACCAGGTCTTGGCAGAGTGATGGAGTCATGTCTGCCAAATGGTAGGCTGACTGAGTGATTAGCAAGTGCCGCAGCCCATGTATTCCTCCTGGTTTTGTTATTTTCTGAAAAACAACTGATCATAGAATGTTGTTGTTCTGAACCTTCGGTGAACTGTTATAAACCTTTAGTGAAATGTTTGTCAGGCTCTGGGACACGTTTTGCTCATTAGATATGAAATAAATACAGCTGGCTGGTATGAAGACAATTTGAAAAAGGCTACAAGTGCTTTTTATTTAAAAATGTCTCATTCAAAACAGAAGTTTTCATCTGCATTTGTATAAAGGACTCGGAGGCTCTTCGAACACACAGAAGGTGTACTGTGTACACGGCATGCTTGTTAATAAACTGGGAGGTTAGGGAAAATGGAAATGCTGTGTTATTGCTCAACTTTTAATGCATTAAGCTGCATGAAATGTGTTTTTTTGCAGTGAAAGAAAGAGGGGACTTGAAAGCTTAATTTGCAAGGCCTCTGTGCAAAAACTATACTGACTCGAAACAAGTGCATTAACCAATCCTATGTCCTGTATATACAGTCTTTTAAAACTATCATTTGGCCTATTTAGCCTTTTAACATCTACCTGGTAATGACATTACATTTGTATTATTTTTTTTATTATGAGCATTATTATTGTATTAGAAGCTCTGTTATATTCTAAGCAAACATAAACAGAGGCATAGGTGATCCACTCACAAAAAAAATCAAGATTGGTTTAATCATACTATAAGTTTGCAGATTTATGTTCTAGGTGTACTGATGTATTTATCAGTTTTTAAAGCATGTGACCCATATTCCACAGCATCTATTGCAAGGTGCGCCAATATTGTTCCTGGAGTGCTGAGGTGTCTACATGATTTCATCCAATGGCTTTCAATGGCAATGACTTTTTTAAATGACAGAAATTTAACCACTTACAGAAAGCTAATCTTTTAATCTTGCAGTATTTATTAGTCTAGCATATACTGCAGCCTTTCGCAGCTTGGAAAACCACACAATTTATATATAGGGAGAGAAGACATTTTCCATTATTGAAATAACCACTGTATTCCAAAATTACGTACAGGAAGCAATAAACTCTTTGACCTGTCTGAAGGCCCTACATTCCAGACTTGAGACCCATTGAACATTTGTCATGGGAGCTGGAGGGTGACGTGTGTGTATATACATTATAAATACATTTAGGGCTCAGAGACCAGTCACATGCTTTTTCAGACTCTGCAAAAGAAATGGGACACAATCCCACGAGACTGCATCTGCAGACTGGTTCAAAGTGTTCATCACAGATGTACTGCTTATGATGATGGCCACATGCATCAGTAGCCTGTGGTCATTTTGTACAGTGATGCCACTTGCCTTTTTTAAGGTACTGAACTTTGCTTTCCCCGTGAGAAATGCTTGGGACTTTATCCCAGGGCATTTATGCAGCTTGTCAGTTTGAAATGTACATCTGCTTAGTTTCATGCGAAATGTTAACGTAATGCTGGCTTGTACCATGCTTTTAATACAGGTTTGTGGAATTCAGAGACGCCCAGCCTGACTGTGTAGTTCACTGAATTCAGTTTTTCATATCCTGCTAAAGTGGCCTATAAATGAGTAAGCATAGTTCTGTTGCTCATAACCATGTAAACAATCTGGTTTTGGGCTTCAGTATTGCAGTTTGTAACTTGTCATATTTTCTGTGCCTGGAGATTTATGTATTGCATAGGGTGCTTTATCGTCCTCACGCTGTTTTTCCTGAAAGGTCACATAACCTTCCATTCTTTCAGTTTATGACACTGCTGTATATAGAACATAATTGAATGGTCGTATTACAGAGTTCCTGGTGGAGTTACATTCTTTGCTTAAATATTGGGTGTAATTTAATTACATGCACTTATGTGTCTCTAAGGTATCTTTTGGTTTCAGATGTGGAGTTCTCTTTTCTGATTTAAGAGAACTGCAAACAGGCAGACTTTATCAGATCAGCTCTGACCATGTATTGCTTCTGGTTGTAAATTTTGTATGTACAGTACAGACCTGGCAAGTCCATTTTGATCTTTTTTCTTTCTAGGCCCAATGTGTGCGGAGGACATTGCTGTTCAGGATGGGCTATAGCACCAGGGACAAATCGATGCATAAAGCGTAAGTATAAAAAATGGATTTTGCCACCACTTTTCACTCTCTAAACAAAGATGAGCAGAGTAGGAGATACTTCCTGTTTGGATCCCTACTGATGCTACAAGTTGAGTTATGACGTGTGCTGAAGACGAAAGATGGAATTGTCTCATCTCGAGATATCCAGACAACCCCTTCTGATTCAACTGTCCGTTTACTTGGAGAAAGGTGGTCAAAACAGGCCGTGGTGGAAAGTGAGTACAAGCACAAGTAAGTAAAACGAGATTCTGCGAAAGGCAGTGAAAACTACTTTTTTAAAAAAATCTCGTTTTTGTTAGACAAAAATTAAAGCTGTGTTTATGCCAAACGTGTATACATTTGAGCTTATGGAATCTGAGGAATACAGCTGCTAACAGTAATGAGCCAGCACAGTAGGAAGAAGTTTAACAAATGAGGAAATAAAACCCCCCAGTTGAAATCACAGACCCAAATCAGAGAGCAATTTAAAATAACAGAAAACTGTGTCCTTTTTCTGTAGACTAACTTGTTTTAAGAGCATTACGTACTGTAGCTCTACACTAACAAGACTCTTAATTGTATGGTGAAGTTTGAAGATTTATGATGCACTTAATGTGGAAAAGGGCACCAATGAACAAGAATCTTTATTCTGAGAAGCGTCTGGAACACAATGAATTTTCTCAGATGTCTGAAGCAAAACCCCCTCTATACTGTATTTACGTGTTTTTCACAGTACTATTTGCATTCATGGAGTTTCTCCAAAGTCGGCAAACTTTCCAATTTTCATAAGAAACAAAGCATTCACTGGCCGTTTGGATCACTGGCCGTCAGTCAGTTTGCCTTTCCTCTGCTTTGGAGAATGTTGACAATTCCAGGCACTTGATAAAATAACAGCGCACTGGTTTTCATTTCTCATACCAGTGCAAAAATGCTGTCGAAACAATGAAGATAAGCAACACTGAGGTGGAAAATACTGCTGTCCAGCGTAGTACAGCAATAAAATTAACGACCTCTCACAAGGGTCCTTCGCAAATTCTTATGGAAGTTTGACAAGAGAAGTTTTCATAGTGCCGCTAGCTTGCAAGGAAAAGGGGACTCAAAGCTGAGTAATTAAAGAGCGAATCCTCTGCCCTCATCTAATGTGGTAAATAGTTTTTTTCTGTTATGGAGCCATGGGTTTCAAGTTGTTGCTTTCCAATTTTTTGAAGGCAGAAAAGAATATTTCAAACATACAGTAACACCAACAAAGACTTCTTTGAAATTCTCAATATCTGGTTGTTTTGAGATCTGTTACTTTGTTGGGTTACCATATCTATACTTTTAAGGTTAGAACCTAGAACGTTCTTTGCCTTCACTGGCAATGTGCAAGAAAAAGAAATATTTTTGATGTTCATAGCTGTGTTTTGCAAAATGTCATGAACACTTTTTTTCCCTGATGTGAAATCTGAGTTTTTAGAACTCCGTCCAAGTGTGATCTTAAGAAAATGAAAAGAATACTTTTTGCAACTTCGTTTAAACCCCAAATATGAGAAGTTACTGAACAGAATGACATTCAGTGAAAATGTGGGGGAAAAATATTCAGTTGGTGCTGGGCCTTTTTTTAGTTTAGTGTCCCAGATTGGGAGCAGTTGTAAGTGTTTGCTCAGCCACAATAAATAAAGAAAGTGCCGGTTCCTTGAATTACCAATTGCAGTTCTTCGTTGATTTGTGATCAAGTTTCATGAGATGTATGTAGGGTATGCCAATTGTCATTAAGGAAGTCATTTTTTTTTTTGCTGTTTTTAGTAGTCCGGTTGTTATGGGGATTCCAGAAAAAATTGCAAAGCTATGCAGGGCTACACAAGTAGAAAAGGTAATTGAATGACAATACCCTGTATATAGATATTCACCTCTCTTTTTAATTAATAACCGTGCAAAGATACAGAAGTATCTTGTCATATACTGCAAGTCATTATACCAATCTTTCATCCAGCTCTAAACTTTTTCTTTTGCTCTTGCGTTTTGCTAGCACAGTAACATCTACCCATGTTAAAGGCATTATACCAAAATTAATTCATAAAAGGGAGAAAATAGGGCATTTAAGTAAATTCAACCTTTGATGAGCATATTTGCCAGTCCTAAATGGGGATTTGCAGTTGTCTGGTTGTGGGCTTTGTTGATGGAGAATGACAGCTGTAGACGTCCCCTCAGAGAGACCTTTTCATCCCAGCATGTGACTGCCGTGGTACTAGAGGGATGGTTCCTATGTGTCTTTCTTCTTCCTTGTACAGAGGGATGGACACAAGCACATGAGCCGCTTATTATCGAGAATAGTGCTCAAGAATTCCATAAGTTAAAATGGAGAGTGGAACAGGAGTCGCCACAAAAAAAAAAAGCTGGCAAATATTTTGAACTGAAAAGAAAATAAAGAACCTCTTCAGACCTCATACTTTAAACACACTGCACCATCTGGTCTCTTTTACTTGTTTGGCCCACACCCAGGTGAGACCATCCAGTAAGCAAAGTAGCTCCTGCAATGACCCAGACCAGCGCCAACTCGGTGAGATGGGCTGCTCTGGTAGCACTCATTGTTGAGACCTCCACCACATTGGGAATTCTCCACTCGAAAAGGAAAAAAATTGGGCCCTTTGAAAGATGAAACGCAGAGGTTTTCATATTGGGGGACCGTTCGCAGAGCATGCTTAGAAAAGAACCACCTGAAATACAGTATGAACAGAAAAGAATTGAACAGTGCCTATTCCACAATAGTAAAGCGCTAGTGGAACTAGTGGAACTCAGTGTACATGACTTTAGAAAATATCTGTAATAAGCTTCTTTCAGTTTGGAGGATCTGGTGTCCTAAGTTAAATGTCGTTACAATGGCCTCTGTTCTAAATCATGCAGTTTGAACCAGCAGTTGGTCAAATGAAGCCAAATTACTGCTGTGGCATTGTATAGATAGGAGGTGGTTTGATGCCTGTCCAGAAACCTCGAAATGTTATTAAAAAGATGGATGTTTTATTTTTTTTAAAGGCACACTGGCTGCTGAAGCACAATAACATAAAGTGAGAGATTAAAGACCTGTGCGAAGGGGGATGAAATTCTAGCTGCCAGGTTGTCACTGATAATTTGAAAGAGAAATGTCCTTAATCCCCTCGCTTCTTCAGTAGTTGCAGTCAAAAGAGAGACAAAGGAAATTTGTATCTGGGTCCACATGGTATCTCCTGGCACTGGAGGTTTCCCTGCAGAGCTCGAGGTTTGTGGCTTTCATTTCTTGTTTCTTGATATTCATCATGGATTCTTTAAAAGGAGCCGTTTAAACGGCATTCCCAGTGGAGAAAGTGGAAGACAGAACAGGGATCAGAGCACAGAACAAAAGGACATTCATTCATCTGCAAAGCATGACATCTAATGTAGAAAATGTGGGCATACAGTACTCTAATATGTATTTTTTTAAATCAGTGCGATAATTAACCACAGCAGTTGAAACCCATTTTGGAGGAGGAATAATACACAAAAAAATAAAAGTTTCTAAAAAGTCAGCCGCCTGCGTATATTTTTTTATAAAGGAGACGACTGCATGCATAAGAAATAACTCGACAGTGCCTTGGGGAGCTGTGAAATCATTTTCAGTGTTGAACTCCTGAAATTTTTGTATATTAAAACATTGTTGAGGCACTGCTCTTAATTCTTTTATGAGAAGCAAGGTTTCTGAAAATTGGTCTACCTTATTCCTAAACTCAGTTCATAGAACAAACTATTACGATTATTAGCAAACCTCGGTTTATACTCTGCTAGAGCAGATGGACATCATAAAGCTGGTATCAGTGTAGAGCCTTTATTATCTCCTTTTAAGACTTTCTAATCTTATTTATTATTAGTTCCTGTTACAACTGAAAGTTGTTTAAATGTGGAAATCCAAGAAAGTCACCACCTGTTTCTCCCTCTTCTAAAATGTCCTGGTTTCTCATTATATCAGATAAATTAAGGTAGTGACTCAGCAGTTTTGAAGACCAATAAGCCCTGCAACAGCCTGAACTGCAGTACGCCGAAGTACAATAGCACTTGTTTTTCTAAGACAGCAGTCTTTAATTGCTTTACTTAAGGTGACTTATGTAAAAGTGGTCTTTGAGCAGAAATCGAACAGAAATGTAAAATCCTTCACCTGAGACATTTTCAGTTCTCAGATGCATTTTCTTGGTAAAAAAAAACAAGTTGTTTTTTTTAATGAGGACTGCCAAATGATATCTGATGGAAGCGATTATGGTTTCAAATACAGGAACTTAAGTAAAAGTAAGTAATTGTGGTGTAAATTTGTCTTGGAGAATGACATCAGAACTGACCTTTGGGTTGGAACCAGTAAACACACATTTGGTGCTAATTTTGAGAAATGAAAAGCAAAGTCGTCTAGCTTCCAAATGGGTGGCACTTCAGGAACTATGCCATTCCTTTTTATTTGTAACGGTGAGCCATGGTAAATTCAATTGGTGTCCTCCCACTGGGATTAATAAAACAGAGCACTAATGATGCTGGCAGTGCCTAAATATAGTTTTCCTCTTGCAGTGCTGGAAACAAAACATCCTGCTAAAGACCTGTATTAAGGGGGCATCTTATAAAATCGGTAATTATAACTAATTAGGATTAAGCTGTATAAACCAAGGTATACTGAATATTTGGTGCTTCCTTTTTGTTTAAATGGCTGATTCTTTACATTTGATGTTTCCATGCAGTTCAGTGCACTCCTTGGAAGAGGAGTTTGCATTTTGTGCATCGGTGAGGTCTGCTGCAGCAGTTTTACATCTGTTCTTTAAAAAAAAAACACCCTTTCACACCAGGAGCAGCAGGGCCCACATGTAAAAATAGAACCAATTACATACTGTCCTGAGTGCTTTAGTGCTTCGTGGCCAGAAACAGATTTCAATTTGGTCAAATTCCGTCAAATGGAGAGGAACAAGCCTAAAATCTGGTAAATGTCTAGCAGACTACTGCACTGCTGTGTGTGTTAGGCACTTTACAGCAGGGTACGTTGC